TTTCCACGCGAAATCGATGCTATATAGTAAATATAATTAAAATATACGTACGTTTCAGAGTTCACTGTCGCGAAGTCTGTATATATATAAAGCATTTGTCCTCCCAGCACGTAGCCCAGCGCTGGACCCACCACCGCCATTGTATAATAAATACCTGAAAAAAAAACAGAAAATAATAATTTGACTTTTTGCTTGACACGATGATTTGTCTGCCTGTTATGTGTTTCACCTTAATCCTCTCTGTGATTGCATTTTGTTTCAAATGTAATGTTAAGGTAAAAAATGAGCTCTAGCTCTAGCGCCAAGTCTGACTGAGACAAAAATGTATTTATTTCTGATATCCGGAAGTCACAGTTCATATTTATATTGTAATATATACGTGACAATTGAACGAGGGGTGGATAGCTTTTTGCCAGTTCTTCCTCCGTTATACGATTTTGTGTATGGAAATTTACAGTCATTAAATGCCTTATTTTTGATGAACAAATATATTTTAACTTGACTAATCGAGTACTAATAAAGCAGTGCTGGCCTAGTGGCTTCTACTCTCATCCCTGAGGTCGTACTTTCGATGCCCGGCTGTGCACCAATGGACTTTCTTGATGTGCGCATTTCACATTCGCTCCAATAATGAAGGAATACATCGTGAGGAAACCGGCTTGCATACCTGACCCAAAAAGTCAGGCACATGATGCTGATCACCCACATGCCTATTAGAGTGGCAAATGAACATGAAACACATTTATCTATTTTATTTTAAGTATGTTAGGACACACCTTTCCATACAACTCTTTCCATACAAGCTATTGTATGTGCACTGCAGCATACAGATTGTTATAGGTAGCTAAGTCAACAATAGCTAATAGCGCACAACGACAAAGTGTGTGCTTTACAAATACAAGAGCCGAGTCCAACGACTTCATTGTACCCTAAAGCTGTGACACCGATCCAATCTCCATTAAACAGTGTGAAACCGCCCGAGTGTGTCACAATAGCCCATTTCTTTGCACTCGCCTCTTCACCCGTGTTTTCACAGCTAAAAGCTGCGGAAAGGATTAGGTATGTGGCACACATTGATATCGCTATTTATACTAGTATATCTCATACCTTATCCGCTATTTTGCTGGTAATTGGTATTTTTAGTGTATTTTTATATTATATGTTTTGTAACAGCTAACAGCAGCAAGTCAAGTCACCAGCTTTTGTTCAAAAATCGTAAAAATTTTAGAAAAGATAGCATTTGAATAATGCTATCCTGCATAATGTAGCTATCTGATGTGATAAACTTTAATAAATAAATAAAAATTAACAGAAATGATTCGTATGTTTGCAACGAATAAGCTACTATATGCCGTACGCTATTTTAAAATAAAGAGGAGAGTATTAGAGATACATTTCTAGATATGCAGGTTTCTTTATATACCATAGGGGGCTAACGACCCTAAGGGACGCCCAGAGCCGTCGTCATAATCCAAGGACACCCATTTGTGTGTGTTTAAACGTGGATTACCTAAAATTATAGATCACAAAGAAAAACTATCCATACATTAAATAATCATTAACAGTACATACATATTAACTTGGCGATTAAAAGGAGTGGCGAAGAGTTAATTGCCAGTTCTTCTCTTCCGTTCTAAGCCCTTGATTTGAGAACTAATTCATTAGGTAGTAAAAGTAAAATTAGAAATTAGAAATTATTATAATTATTAATAATAATTTTTTGACGTTCATAAGTGTACCTACATTGTGTTACCTATATGAATAAATGATTTTGACTGACTTGATTCTGACTATAACTTTTTTTAAGGTTGGTACTACCTACCTAATATGTATTTAGGATTTCATAAAATAAAAAAAGTTTACAAACTATCACTTAGCTATCGCCTCGCTTCATCTATCAAAGTCCTTTGAGATCTCAATGTAAGGGCTCACACTTGGCAACGCAAATGGCATCGATACACTCAAAGGGAAAGCTTTCAAAAGACAAAGGTATCCTTCATCATACTTATGGGCAGTTTTTTTTATTGAAGCTTCTTGAGGATGGGAATTCGATTGTGACTAGACGACGTATTTACTACGAACAATTGAAATTTGACATCGTCATAAAGCGATTCCCGCTAACTTGAAACCAAATATCCCGGTAATATCATCATTGACCAAGAATACCACGGTTTTTGAATATCTTTTAATACATATACCACTCAATATCGTACAATATAAATTCCCTAAAGATCTTTCTCTCAAAACGAGTAGTAGCTGGCTGGTATCCGGAAAGTGTGATTGGTGCACCCTCTTTGAACTCTTACAAACAGATTGGATAATTTCTTAAACTCCGCAGATACGGCGCATCAGATTATTAAGCTGCTAGTTTGTTTATCTACATAATAATAATAATATAGGAAAGACTAAATGGCTAGTGGTAATTTTTTATCGCAAGGCATTTTATTCCCGCATATGAGTAAGTGGGATATTTAGCAAGTGCGATTGTATGTAGTGAATATTTTCTGTAAGTGTATTGCACTTATACTAAAGTGCTATTATGCCCCTTTGGGGTTATGGATACTTCAACGTTGAACACGCGGTCATGTGATTTGAGGGGTTAGTGAAAAAGATTATATTGGCTCCTATTTATTTTTATTTGATATATTATTATACTTCGAATGTGGAATGGAAGTTCTCTTTAAAGGACAAGATATAAATCAGAATAGGACTTTTATGTGCCATAAAGAACGGTCATCTATACAAATTTTACATAGAGGAAGATTAGATAGAAGACTTAAGATGCGCTTAACGAGGGCAATTTGCTGCAGTGGACCGCTGGCAATTTCAATAATTGCAAAAATTTCGGATTCTCCATTCACTGGTGCACGTGTTCCTGCTTTTCTCTTGATTTGTTGTTCCGGGGAGAGCGAGAGTCTAATAATAATAATTTTAATTATTTATCAAAAGAATCAAAGTGTGATTAGTAGTTGAATAATAATCATTATTCTTTACATATGAAAATTTTCCTTTTGCCAAAAACATCGCACCCAGTACGCCTATTCTTTTCTTTCTTTTTTTTTTGGATTAATGATAAAAAAGGTACAAGCCGCCGCAGCAAGAACAAGTGTCCATAGCGAGCGAAAACTGAAATCTCGTTATGACAGTATTGAAGATGGCCTGTAGGGTGTGCGTGTCTTGACGTCATAATTAGAGTATTGCTGAATTGAAATTTTAGTTGCCGTGTAAGGACCTTTAAAAACGATTTGACTAATATAAATAAATATTTGTGTTCAAGTTTACTCAGTGAGAAACATACGCTATTTATTTCCAAAATAAACAACTGACGACCTTGCGAAAATGTGACAGGCCGTATTTATATTTTTTATGCCACAGATCACATACACATAATTTTTGTGTTATTATATTTTTTCTGTTTTAATTACTGTACATATACAAGTATATAACGTATCGAGTTATTTGGACACATAGATTGCACAGCCGGGTCTCGAACGAGCAACTTCAGGGTTGAGATCCGAACTTATCCATGGTAAAAGAACATCTTGTGTAGTGAACATCAGTTATTGAGAAATTTCATTTATATTACGTACGTTTATTTATACTAATTGCTCTTTTATAGGTCATTGACAGGTATTTAACGATTTGACTAATATAAATAAATATTTGCTGTTCAAGTTTACTCAGTGAGAAACATACGCTATTTATTTCCAAAATTAAACAACTGGATCGACCTTGCGAAAATGTGACAGGCCGCTAGTTTATATCTTTTTATGCCACAGATCACATACACATAATTTTTGTGTTATTATATTTTTTCTGTTTTAATTACTGTACATATACAAGTATATAACGTATCGAGTTATTTGGACACATAGATTGCACAGCCGGGTCTCGAACGAGCAACTTCAGGGTTGAGATCCGAACTTATCCATGGTAAAAGAACATCTTGTGTAGTGAACATCAGTTATTGAGAAATTTCATTTATATTACGTACGTTTATTTATACTAATTGCTCTTTTATAGGTCATTGACAGGTATTTAAATGAACTGCGATAATATTAAACTATATTAACTTAATTACTACTGTAGTGAGTGGCGGATTTACCAGCAGGCTGTGTAGGCTCCACCTAAGGCGGATTTTCGGGGCGGCAAATTTGGGAACCGAATTTTTTTGCTACCTTTTTCCATTTCTGCGTGACCGTTTTCTGATATTTTTTACAAATTTTGCCGATGACCTTCCCTTCTCACTTGTCATTGTAATCGACCTCTGCGCCCTCAGCTCACACTTTGTATGAGTGAAAAGCAGAAAATATTTCCCTCTTTCCTCTTCCCCCTGTCAACCCATACATACTCGTATCAGTCCTACTACTGGTTGGAGGCTGCGAACTTGATGGTTTGTATAATTTTGAGCTCAAAATTCAAACTCAAAAATTATTTTACGTGCAATTTCAACAAAATTGTTGGATTGTAAAAATAATCTGGGACAACAATTTTAGAGGCAAGGGCGGCACTTCACTGCCTATACCTTGAAAATTGGTAAATTTTCCGCCACTGGTAGTGAAATTAATAAAATATCTTATATACCTAAATAAACTGAAGACATCTTCTTAGAGACGTTCTCATCAATATATGTAACTCCTAATGTGAAGAGTGGAGTTGCGCCTGCGCCGTGCAAGAGTTGAGCCAAGACAAAAATCCCGACTGCCCAAGCGCCACCATCTGACGTCATCTCGTCATTGCATTCAAGGGCTAACTGTGAACAAATGATGATAACTTTAGAATTTGTTCATCGCAGAAGGACTACTACTTTTTACAACTTAGAATAAACTAAATATATTTATTTAGACTTCTTCTCATACAAAAAAATAATACGATTGACATAATTAATTGAAAAGCAGGGCAACTGGAGGCCTTATCGCTTTCGAGGGATCTCTTCCAGACAACCAATGTGAGAAAAAATAAAATAAATTAGATTAAATTATTTGAATTAAACAAAAATTAAAAAAAAACAAAGCATTTAAAACATATGTAAACAGTGAACAGGATAATATAAAGGACATGTTTAAGAATTAAATACCAATGAAATAAGCCTTTTGTAGGAGATATTTAAATAAATAAATAAATTGTTGGGAACGACACAGACACAGACAACGAACGACAGTGATAGACAGAGAAAACTTCTCAAAATGTGTTAATACATTCCAATACACACAAGATAGATATTTTACTTTGAATTCATGTAATCGTCTCAATGTAAACTACATTCACGTCATTACGTCCGATCAAAGCTTTTTATAGAGTGCTAGTTGATTAATCCAGAATGGCACATTCACTGGAACCGGTTTTATTGTTAATTTATTGTACATTCAACTGGTGAAGGCTCTAAATGAGAAAACGATCTCGACTTGTTGTTTATAGACGAGATACTTCATTTGTGTGAAGATTTAATATTTTTAAGTTTATACACGATTTTTATTTAAAATTACAACACTTTAAAGACTGCACTATCAGACGCTACAGACCTTCCGTGGGCTAGCACTTAACTTTTTCCGCCACTTTATTAAGATATAGATTTTTCTTCTGCCTCCTAATTAGCTACTACTTATATATATTAATTGTGACTCAATTAACCTTTGGATTAGCTTTTACATTTTTGGTTATACATAATTTATATTTTGCTTTAGATTTTATTTTATTTAAGTTTAATTATTTACATGTTATTTTGAGTTTTTGAAGTGAAACTTCTTTATCGATTGGAAAAAAATTTAGTGTAACATTTTTTCGTTACGCGTCACATTTTTCGGTTACGCGCCATGTTGCTTTTTGAAGTCAAACTTTTTATCGGCTTGGAATGAAACTTCTTTATCGACGTATGGGAGAAATTTTGTAGCAAATCGTCACGTTTTTCAATGATAGTAATAATTCTATTACAATTAATGAAATTCTAAAATAATCTTCGTAGTAATAAGGTAAAATGAAATATTTGTATTCATGTCTATGATAATAAAAGCCTTTTGTTAAACTTTATCTAATTTAACGAATTTCTGTAAAGTTGCATATAGTAGATCATTTTTCGAAAAATAAGATCATAAAGAATCTTACGTGTGTACACCTAGTACACGCACAACTTTTTTTTGTTAATTAATTATGCACTTCTTGTATTTATCATCTGTACGGTGTTTCTTTGTTTATTGTTCCATATTAGGGATGCCTGGAAGTAATCGCTTGTTAGCGATAAGGCCGCCCGTTGCTTAATAATTTATGTAATCTTTTTTTGTCTTTTTATATGTATGATTTTAAATATTATGGTAACGAAGTGTAAATAAATAAATAAGATACCCGCCAGCTCTTTGTCCGATAACAAATCCATTAACACAATGTACAATTAAAATACATAAATGGTAAAGGATTACTTAACTTTGAACGCAAAATATTGTTTATATTATCATAATTTACACCTAAAATTGGACACAGAAAAAGAAATAAAAACAGTATAAAAAGTAAAAGCAATTAAGCAATAAAGAAGAGTACAACAATGTTTCTAGATGAAAAAGAGGTTTAATTGGTCCTTTAAAGATTTAGCCTTAGTTTATTACAGCAACAGTTGTTTTACGGCATTCAGTACATCTATTCGGTCACCTTATTGCGTGTAAAAAAATACAGAGACAAACTTAAGTAGTTAATTTAATTAAGTGATTTACTTATAAATTGATAGTTCGTAATTTCCTCACCGTCTTATTAGCACTACACAGGTCATCAGGTTCATCACCAGCAATCTTATATGGTGGTACAAGAAAATGTGGTAACGCGAAGAGTAGGGAACCTGTACCCATGAGGAGAGAGCCCCAGCCCAGCCAGCGAGGCTTCGAGGCGCTGCTGCGACCACCTAAGTAGGTTACTGGTGCCAGGCAGGCGAAGGATGCCATATCGTATCTATAAAAACATTATCACTTTAAATAGCGTACAAAACTAGCTATCCACTAATTGATTTTATTATATCTGGACTATTAACTCTTTTCTAACCAATAATATATATCTATATAAATCGATAGCACGTGTTCATTATGGAATTATCACCCTTCCCTAGAAACTAAATAAATAATCAATAAATCAGAAGCAGAATGATAAGATAACAAAGGGTTGTAACTGTTTGACTAGCTTATGAACACACCTTACACAGTGTTGGAGATGCTTCTGAGACACTTATTTACACATTTCACTCACTCACTCACTACATGCACGGTCCACACATTAAGTCAGGCGTGTTGAAAACAGTTAAAAATGGTATTAAATTATATATTTTTATGGAATTTACTATTAAGTTCATTATGGAAGAGCTGTGAACCTAATATAATAAATAAATATAATTCACTTACAATATATTTATGTATATAAATTGGGCACTCACCCTCCCGCTATAACTCCAGTCTGCATAGATCTCAGCCCAAATCGCTTCTCGATGGTAGTTATCACCACATTTACAAATCCGTTCACTACCATTCCTGAAAAGGAAAAACGAAATTAGAAATTTTAAGGTAAAGTGAAAATGGCGCTTAATCTGGACCTTCGATTCCTTGAGAAAGTAATTGTTGCGTGTTCATGGACAAAAGATAACGTAAAGTATTGATACGTCATGCTTCATTGGAAGGATACTGGACATCGGATTTTAATAACATTTATTGCACAGGGGCAGATGTTATCATAAATTATATCAAAAGTCAAAAATCATTTATTCATATAGGTATCACAATGTACACATATGAACGTCAAAAAAGTAATATACATTAAATGCTTCTAATTTTACATTTACTGCCAGTTCTCAAATCAAGGGCGTAGAATGGAAGAGAAGAACAATAAACTCTCCGCCACTCGTTTTAATCGCCAAGTTTTTTGTTTATACTTTACACAACGTTTGTAAGGACAATATGTATGGACAAGGGCATTATTGTATAAATTTAAATAAAAATCCTTAATCCAATTCCAAGTCCAAAGCTTTTATGAAATTTTTAAAATATAAAAAAATACATACTTTTAACTAACGAACTCCTTCGTCACTTTAGAAAGAGTAACTTAAGATAAAACGATGAATTTCCACTAACATGGGTTTTATGATATGTAAGAACACAAATGGAAAAGCATAGTTTTTCCATTCGGCAAAAATAAAACAAATGTGAGTCTATTCCCGTCCATCTGTCGGGCTATGTGAAACATTCATCAAGTGTCAGGACTATTTTAGAACGAGCTTGCATGGCTTAATTGATTTTCGATTGAACTTTAAAATTACCATTCAAAGCACTTTAATTGCTAAGTTTGAATAATTTAATTTAAAATACACTTGTTTTATATTTTGGTTTACATTTAAATACATAACTGAAACCCTTCGAGTGCTTTACAGTCGTCTCTTGCTAAATGCACCTTTATTATAGGTATTCGTACGTCAATACGATATTTCAGTACCAGAAAATATTAAATATCCATACAGTTTGTACACATTCAAAACATGCTTTCCCGATTTTTCGTTTAATTCCAAATGCCCGTGCAGGTTCTTTAAGATTTGCATTACATTTCTTGCATGTCTGTCATATGGATGCCAAACAATGCGCTAATAAAGGAGATTGGAGAATGCCAAAGGTCTATGGAACGTTCGATTCTTTGATTGAAACTAAAAGACAAAGTTAAAAACGATGTGATGCCGTACGAACACAATAGACGTCATAACATATAAAAATATGTAGTTAAATTGGAAATGGGCCGGTCACATTGCCCGCATTTGTGATGGCAGATGGAGATGGGTCAAGAAGTTGGAATGGCCCAGTGGGAAGAAGAAAGAGAGGACGCTCAACACAAACTTGGGAAAATGGAATAAAAGGGATAGCGGGGCAGAATTGGAAAATTGTTTAGTGTAGTGTAGTACTCGAATAAAGGCTATTTCTCTTTTATTTATTACATTACTTTTGTAGGAATTAGCTATTCGACTTAAGTCGGTCAGTTTGTGCTTGTTTTAATACTTATGTCGAATGTAATACTTAAACATCAATTTTAAATAGTCCAGTCTCCAGAACGGAACTTTAAAAAAAACAATGTGATTAGCTTCCTGTGCCTGACACACGCCGTCGACTTTTTGGGTCTAAGACAAGCCGGTTTCCACACGATGTTTTTCTTCACCGTTCAAGCGAATATTACATGCGCAAATAGAAATAAATTCCTTTGCTCTTACAAAAACTTACAAGGTACAGGAAAATCATTTAATCAAAATAAAAACAGATGGCTGAAACAATTATAGCTGAACTGAGAAACGTTAATAGTCCATTGAAATGTTACATTTTTAGGCCTTACCTTGCGTTTTTAGAGGACGCAATTTTATTTTTTTGATGTGTAGAGGGGTCAGTGTAAAGCTAAAAACAAGTTTGTGGGGTCGCCACCCTTGTCCCAGGCCGCCATTGGAAAAAGGGGTCCTAAAACCACGTTTTTGGCTATATCTCCTAAACTATCCATCGTACATAAAACTTGTAAAGACACATTTTGTAGCAAATCGCTGTGCCTACAATTATGTCTATGTAACTTTTTATCATAAATCCAAAATTCAAAAAGTTATAAGTAAAAAAGTGAAAACATTTCCTATTTCTAAAGTTGACTAGGTGCGTCAATGCTCATGACAAGCCGATCAAGACAGCAGTTTTACCTTACTTTTATGATCTCTCGTTTATTTTAAACAAATTTTCCAAATATTTTTTTATTTTTTTATATTCCTATTTTATTTTGGTATTCCTAGTAGGCCTATTCCACAGACAACTTGCTGATATGGTAATCTTCGACATAATTATATTATCAATCAGTTATTAGAATGGTAGTAGTATCATTTTTTATTTATAACTTTTTGAATTTTGGATTATGATAAGTTACATAGACAATGTAGACAAGCGATTTGCTACAAAATGTGTTTTACAAGTTTGACGATGGAGTTAGAGATAAGCCAAAACTAGTTTTTGGACCCCTTTATCCAAGGGGGGGACAAGCACGGCAACCCCACAAACTTGATGCTTGTATTGACCCCCTTTCCATAAATAATTGTCCTCTAAAAACGCAACCCCAATGTAACTTTTCAATGGACTATAAGGTTTTTTAAAGCCATTGAGTTTGATAAAGCCGTCTTAACACTTACGAGTTTTGATAGAAGTAGGTAAGCGATTTACGAATTAGATTCCAGTTTTTTAATATTTGTCTCGTCTTTCGTTTTACAGTTGTTCGGGTATATACGGTACTCTCTACCCAAATATTAACCTTGTTGCTTCCACTCAAAATTAAATCTAGTTTTACCTATCAATACATTTGTTGTGTACGAAGTTTGACGTATCTCACAGTAATTAAGACGAGACTGAAATCGGTGCGAGACATTCGTTAAGATCACATGGTGACACTAACTTCTAATAGATTAGCAAAACACACAAATAGTATTACCGATACGGTCAACGCACCATAAAATTATGCGGTGATGTGAAGGTCGAAGCAAATTTCGAAATTCCGGTAATTTGCGATAAGATCAATTGTTTAGTTATTTTTATAATTTCTCTGGTTTCTTCGATAAAGGTCATATTGTATTACTTTATATACCCACATTACTCGGTCACGCATTCGGCGTATACGAGTATATGTATAACTATTCTGGCCATAAATACTGTTACATAAAAACATTTTTTTCAACTTTTTAATTATTTTGAATTTGGAACACGTATATTATTTTAAAAACTTCTTTAGATTTTACGCCTATTCACATATTTTTTGTGTTATTTATCAAATTACAATATGGAATGGGGTGTTTTAAGAAAATAGGATTGCAGTGATCGCCCCTTGCACAAAGTGGGTATGGAGCCGTCGGTCCAGACACTTAAATAGCTTTGGTATTAGCCGTATGTTCGTATATCGTACTATTAACAGATACCTCAAGCCTCTAGACTTCAAATTGCATGGCCTGACGACACGGCGACAATGAATCTCTTAAAGAATCTTTGGAGCAAGCAGTGGCGAAATTTCCCTTGGAAACAGTGCGTAAATCCATTGATTCGTGGCCAAACAGGTTAAAAGCCAAAGGTGGCCATTTCGAATAGAATATTGTTTTATTTTTTGCTGATACTTTAATAAATACATAGGTATAAATTTCAATACTATTACATTACTACATTTAAATAAATTGCATTTTCGTTTGTAACAGAACTTATGGCTAGACTAGGTATATATATATATCATCATCATAAAATCCAATTAATAAAAAGATTTAATTTATAATATTAACTTTCGTACATAACGTTGTAATTTAAAGTATAATTAAATAAAATAAGTTATGATGTTTTTTTTAAAGAATGGTAACCACACACAAATAAGGTTCACGTTTTATAATAAAACAGTTAAGGTTTATAAAAAGCCATTACAATTTATCAAGACCGGAAGTGATCCGTCAATATAATAGCGATTTCCGGTCTACGAGGTTTATTGACAGAGACGGGACAATCTTTTGATCCTTGTTTATTATTGCGCAGGCACTTTTTAATAGCCTCAACAGGTAAATATTAGTATCACTTTGTCTTTTTATATTGACATTTTGTCGAAATTACTTTCTCGTTGCTTCGCCTGTTATTAAAGTCTAATCTAAAGATATTGTTTTAGCCCGCTCAAGGCCCAGGCATTTGGCCGCCAAACGACGAGCGAAGGCGCAGCTTTCAGTTCATCCAGTCACCGATTCCGCTTATGATCTCCGTTCTTAGTTTCCTCACTTCTGCCCTGACTGAATATATTTGTAATAGGTTTGAAGACTGAGAGATTAATGTAATTTGTTTTTATTTTTAAAGTAAAATTTTTTCTACTTTTAAAAATTTGTTTTTAGTAGTTTAAGGTAGCAAGTAAGTTAGTCTATATTTATTGTTTGGCACGTATGCTGTAAATAAATAAACAAATTAATTGATCAAAGGCATAATTGACCTAATGAAACTTCACTCGACTCACCCATCATATTCTTTTAAATCACTCTTTAAAGGTGAAGAACTACTTATAATTTGTGGTTCTACCGGGATTCGATTTTAATGTTTAAAGTACCGCGCGAGCCTAAGTATACGACGAGAACCACATCTAAAGGCATAAAAAACTGTCGATCTGTATTGTCATTGCAGAAAGAAAAACAGATAAATGGACAGATAGTTCTTATAACCTCCAGTTTCAGATGTATTTTTAGTGACTGATTAACAATTTGACATAATTTTATTCGATAGAATCATACGGTCTCGAAAAATTTGGGGCCAAGTGCAAAGAGTGAGCAAGTGGAGTATGAGTACCACACTTTCTGAAACTTAAAAGGAGTTAACATATAGTTTATCAATGCTGATCTAAAGTTATGTATGATTTATAGTTTAGCAAACGTTCTACACTTGAGACATGCGATTTTAAAAGGTGCGTACGGAGCGTATTTAATTTTTTATGGCAATCACTCTAAGGACAAGTGTAAGAAGTGC